CCTAGTCATACTCACTTGCTTACAGCTTGGTTTCTACTCGCTTTACTACTCTGTCAACTTGTCAATGAGACCCCTGGCAACACAGAGAAAGGTTTATAGGAGGTGAACATCAAGCCCTACAACCATGCTAACAAATCCAGAAGGCAAAGAGAAGAATCTCATCCTAAGTGGGCAAGAAAAACACGTAACACCTAATTTATTCTACACCAGCCACCAAAACATACATCCGCTTAACAAGTGAACTATTTAATGTCACCCAGTTTGCTCAGCTTAACAGGCTGAGTTGAATTTAGTTAAAATCTTTGGTCTTTTGTTAGCATATATCAATCATAGTCTACATTTACAAACACATTACATATCCTTTAGTGTACAGTATTATTTTCAATAGCTTTAAAAAAAAAGATTTACATTATTACTCTATACATATTTCACAGAGGTGAAAGTTAGTTCAGCTAGCAAGTCATGACACATCATCCTTTTAAAACCTTATCACCAATGCTAGTGCTGATATGCTATTTAATGTTTAGTACTCTGGACATTGCATTACATTTGTCCAGCCTTAAAGTGATGATAAAGTTGACAACTTTCTTTGCCTTCCCCAATTCTATGTTTCTCATTAAACAAACCAGCAAAAACCCCTAGCTTTAACAGCAATGGCAATCACAGCAGCACTACCTCTGTTTTTGAGAAAAGCTGTCATTCCACTGAGCAAGACATCAACAGAAACACAAGTGCACACTGTACCACATCAGACATCCCCACCTGTTTCCCTGGCAACACTTGCAGACCTACAAGAAGTAACTGCATCAAACAGAAGGAAACTCAGAAGAGGAATCGTGCCCACACTTCAGGGTTGTGTCACTACTACATTGACAATAAACAAAAGCCACAGAGATCAAAGCCACAGGTAACTGGAAACAGAGTACAAATGTCTTCCTGCAAGTCTGACCAGGAAAGGAGAGAAGCCATGGTTTAGCAGTGCTGAGGTTTGATAAACAGTTAGGAATTATAAACCTGTGAAACAAAAAACCAACTCTAAAATGCAACCATAAACGTGGTAATCTGTTTTTTCATTTTATTGTTGTATCTCGCATGCTAATAACTGCACAATATATATTACACGTGGGTCTTTTACAGCCTTTAGCCATATGGCTCAAATTAAACAGTTCTTTATTCAAGTAATAGGCTATGCTGTGCGTGTCTCCTAATCAACATGATCAGCTGTAGAACACTGCTGACAGGCACTGGTTTCCAACACAGAAATGGCAGGATGCCTCTCCCTTTGCTTCTACAAAGTCTCTTTAGTCTGGTCATCTTAAATAAAATCACTGTGAAAAACTTTTACAGCTCACCCCTTTTGTTCTTGAGAAACAGAGAATGGACAACTTGGGGTGGCTGCTTTCACTGCAGTACCAAACAGGTAGGCATCCATCTCAGCACGGAAACCACATTTCATAAACCATCAACGGTTCACATAAAGTGCTGCAAACTCATAATAACATGTGCCAGGAGTGTGAGTAACTGAATCTCTGGATAGTATATTTGACTTTTGCTCCTATACTCCCATTTAAGGAGCATAATACATATTTTACTTTCAGTGATTTTATGTATAGATGGATGACTTGCAAGTAAAGGTTCTGATTCTCCTAGAGTAGAATATAGTACATGTTGATGAGAAGTTACAAATTTGCTTTTGACTATACTTTTTATATTTTCAGAAGGCATATTTAAAATATGTCATATTAACCAAGCTGTATTCATTGCTTTTTCACCCATCCTCTTTTTTATTGGAAGAATACAGGTAGCATTTAACTTTCTTGGTGCCCTCTTTCCATACATTTGATCCGGCTTCTCATCCATTTTGATTGAATGAGTACCATTTACTAGAATATGGCTATGCAGTAAACTTACTAAAGCCAATTAAAAAACCCCAACTCTCTAATAGACCGAAAGCCAAGGAAATAGCCAGCAGATAAATCCCTTCAAGTACTAAAATCATTCAGGATGAAGCAGCATATATTAGCAAAAAAAAGATAATAAACACATTAATTTGCTTTAAATGCTTACAGCATCTAAAACAACAAAGAAAATTAACTTAAAAAATAGTTAGCAATAACCTAGGACTTGAATGATCACTGATTACTTTTTTCAATTCTTCTATGAGGTAACATGATCTTTGAAGATCCCAATTACCTGTGGGCATATTTAAATGGTCGGTGGCCTCCATTAGCTTTCCTCTGGACACACTAGATGTCCAAGGTCTTCCAGTGTTTAGGGTTCCTACCCAGAGCACAGTATATTTTATAGGTGGGGAAACTGAGGTACAGAAGTAGCAAGACTCACCCACAAACATACAAGCAAACCCATCACAGAGCAAATACTAAAATTCAGAATAGGGGAGAACAAGAGGAATAAAGTAAAAGCACATCAAGGACAGAAGCAGCATAGCAGAATACACTCTAGGAAAACTTTTCTGCTTTCCCCACCATTTCCTCAGGCCACAGAGTTTCTTCTGCCAAAAGACAAAGGGCTTAAAAAAGAAAAAGGGATTTAACAGCCCCTGAACACATTCTCCTCTAGAATTCAGAGACAAAAGACTGGCATGCAAAGCAGAGCTGGGTAGAAAGCTGCAAATTTAGGATTTTGCCAACTAAAAACCAAGTTCACATAGCCCTTGATTTCCACCTTAGAACAGTACTACAGCATGCCTCTGATTTATAGGTACTAATAAAACCTATCAACCTTTCAGTAGCTGCATATTACAGCCTATATAAGATTAATTCAAATTCAGCTATTAATTTCTTTGTAGCATGTAAAGTTTGCATCTTTAAACTACACTATCCTGTTGGAAAGCCCCAACTGCATTTAGAGAAAAAATAGTGAGATATGCTTATGACATCTGGCTCCTCATAAAAAGGATTTTGGCAGAGAAGAAAGTACCATAAGAGAAATATAACTAATGACCAGTAATTCTTACAAGGACACAACCAGAACCCATCAAGAATCCTTGCTGATCACAGCAGTTACGTGAGAATACCAGCCTCACAGGGGTCAAGTACTTAACCTGGCGTGCTTCAGATACAAACCAACTTTTCTCAGTTCTCCAGAAATGGAAGAGGTGACCTTCCCCTACTAGTTAATGCTTTTGCACAGAATCATTGTTATTCTTTATCTCTCCAGTTCCTAAAAACTGGAAATGAACTGAAAATAAGGTTTGAGACATGGATCTACATCACTGAAAAAGGATTTTGCCTGCAGCATCCCAAATTGTTCTTGATCATTAGATGTTATTAAAACCACATACTATGAGACCGCTGGGATGTGCTTTTTGCAACTTGTGGTGAATACCCAATAGTCTCACCAACGATATGATACTACCATAATAAAGATACTGTCATCATCAACTATACAATGCAGCATCTTGGTGGATGCAAATTAACAAGCAACAATGAACCCTTACACAAAGTCTTACCAGTCCTTCCTTTCTGCAGTAAGGCTGTACTTTCTAAGCTTCTGTAATATTTAGCAGCCAAGAAGACTGGAACTAAGGGGGCAACTCTACAGAATAACTAACATAATCAGGTGTGTATTCAAACTCATCTATACAGGCCAATTAGACAAGTCCACATTCAAAGTAACAGCTAGCACAGACATAGCATAGCAGATTTTCTTTCTCCCTTCATGCTCCACTTCCCCATCTGATCTTGCTGACAGAAAAGGATTTGGTATAATCAGCTGTGAAGCCACGGCACAAAGTTGCAGTAGGAATATTCAACAAGCTGATCCTCCCACACTCAGCTGTAAGACAGACCCCCGGTTCTAAGTAATATACTCCCTTATTACACTCCTCTCAGGGTCCTGCATGCAGCAGCTGGTAAATGATAATAGAAGAGCTTTAATATCATTGCCTAAGTAGCCCATTAACGCTAAAAGGAGTTGCAAGAATGAAGTCATCCTTGAAATTGATACATAAGTACCTACAAAAATTTTCCCTTTACAAAGGGAGGACCAAGAAGACCTGAAAATAACTATCCTGGAGAATATGTGGGGTATTAAATGCTGCATCTGCACTTCAGGCCATCCTGAAGCATGATATTTATGCCTCCTTATAGCACAACTGTGGGAAAATTCATGACGCCAATGGTGCAATATTAAACAAATATAGTGTGAAATAATTCCCTGAGCTAGCACTGAAATTCATGTAAATTTTAGTCCATTAATAGGGATCATAATCTAAATATATTAAATGCACATAAAAGTATAGTATTTAGGCAAAATACAGGATATAAAAATAACTCATTATACATGAAAGGCTAGCAACCAAGTAAATTCTTGAAATTCATACATCTCTTGAGGGTAGTTGGCAGGCTTGTAGGAGGGATTAACAAGTACGGAAAGAACTTGCAAACTTCAGAGCTTGAGGTCATTTTTGGAGAGACACTTGAAGGAGATTACCTATTGGCATATTGCTTCAAAAACATTCATTAAAATTAAAATTGAAGGGTTTTTTCTGAAGCACTTGTTACTATGTCGTAAGGATGGAATACTATGTATGGGCAACTTCCACCTTGCCATAACTCTTTGTGCCCAGACTCTTATTTCACAGTAACAGGATGGAAGGTCATTTTTGTTGAGAGAAACTTCCTTGCTCTACCTATGGGATAAACAAAATATGCATGACCAGCTACCATGGGACAGCCAGCTTACCACACCAAAACAACCTTTTTGTATGTCCACACACATTCATGCTTTAAAACTCTTTATGCATTCATGCATAAAACTCTAAATTTGGGCAAATAAGAGTGTTTCGTGTTTCAAGGCAGGAGACTCACTACCAGTTTATGGATTTTCGGTTTCCAAAGAAAGAAGCTGTATTACAGTTCATGTTACAGAAGTCTTCATGCACAAAATGCCTTCCTTTGCTTTCAGTATCTCATTGAAATTCAAATATGGATTTTAACAAAAAAGGTCTGTAAGAATCAGTAACTCCTGTCACTTACTTGGCTTAGAGTTAATGATGACATTCTCAGCAGAGTGCTGGAGTGGAAACCTGCAGTTCTCTCCTTGGCCTTCACTGCTGCCGTACTCTATGACTTCCACTTGTCCCAGTGGTACGCTCCACTTCAATAAATACCTCTGGCCAGTTGTCACGGTGCCACTGCTTTCATACGAAGAGCTGGAAGATGCACAAATTACTGCTGTGAAAACCAACTATGTTTAATGGCATCCTATTTATTAATTTTAGCTTCTAAAATCTGCTGTTTATCAGTCTGAGTGCCATGCAGAACTTGAAACAAATACATGCATCAGGCTGACTTTTGAGACTGACCTTTCCTGGAGTGCAAAGAGCAGCTATGCAGGTGCAGATAGTCTTGTTTACAAACAGCACAGGACTGCCAACAACAGTCCCTACATTTCTATAACAAAACATAAATGACCATCTTTTTAAGACCAGTGTGCATTTTGACACCCTAATACAAGTGCTTAGGATGATACTTTGGCTCCATATTTTCCTAATTCTTTTGAAACAGTGCTCAAAAGAAGTAATTGCTGTGTTTAGAGAAGTATGGATGATGGGACCCTTTGAATGACTACCAGCAGCAGGAAGGGCAACATAACCTCCCAAGGGCTTATGAGCTAACGTTTCTGCCAAGCCCCACAGCCACTGCTGTGGCTTCTGAGAGTAATGCCACATGAGCTGCTGCTAAAGGAAGTGTGTTATCACAACAGGTGTTTCAGAGGGAACTGGACAAGCTCACTTGGAATAGAAATGGCATTAATACTCCTTTGTTTCCTTCATTCCCTTATTCACATTTAAGCACATACATTATTTATAAATGACAAAAGAGATGTTAAAGTAAATAAAAAAAGGTCTACTTCACAGAAAGGATGACTGCAATACAAAAGTTAAATGCTTGGGAGAAATCAGCAAAATGCATTTATTGAGAACAGTACCTAAATGCTAATGTTTAGGCTGTTAGATACCTATTCCCAACAGTCATACTTTTGTTGCAATGAAGAGGCAAGTATGAACAAAAACCACAAGTGCCACAGCTTAAGTAAATATTTATAAACTCTTGATCTAGTTCAGAAGAAAGAAAACAAGACTAGTCAGGACACAGCTGTTCAATCACTAGGGACAGCATCCACCCTGTCCAACTGCTGCTACTTAAAAGTTGGGTCTCCAGTTTGAACTGGTCATCTAGGCTACATGCGAAGACGGAGCTTCTGAGGGTCATGTACTCTGTAGAAATACATGTCTTTTGCCAACTATAAGAGGAACCAGTGGTCCCCAGGATACTGGGATGCCGACTGTTTCTGTAAAGGTTGGACAAAAGGTGGTTGAGAGAAGGTAGCTGATCCATACTGCGCAGCTACGTGTACGTGTAAAGCTTCTGAAGTCTACAGCTCCAGGGGAAATCTGCAGACATGCACCTTGAAATCCACTGCTGTAACAGAAGCCTAACTTAGTAAGATGCCTAACCTCTATACAGCAAAAAAGAAGAGAAATAAAGCTCATCCTGCATGAGCCAAACAGGCAAGTGATACATTCCATAGCATATGCCTATTTTGAACAAAAACTTCTGGACCAGATAAAGCTGTCACGTGAAATCTGGCAGGATTATTTCCTTCAGTTCCTAACTGTATTTTGCATTACAGAGTGTCGTGGACATCAGGTCACAAAGGTAGTTTCTTCCACCTTAAAAGCAATCCATGAAATCATGAAGGAATCCTAAACCTACACATACAGCTTGCAGTTGGAATCCCCCCTGCCTTTCGCCAAGGAACTCACAAACCTGTGCTAGTGAATAAAGCTAAAAGTACATTCAACTATTCTAAAAACTCACTGTTACATAAACAAGCACATTGGAATGGAAACCTTAACTGGTAGAGAAAAATGTTATTAAACTTCTTCAGAGCCAGCAAACCCCCATGACACATGCATGCACAAATACCATCCCAAAGGAAGTTGTTCATAACTAGTGAGAACAACAGTGCTGTGATAACTGGAACTGTTGACTTCATAAAGAACCCAGAGACTTGGCATAACCATGAACTTTTCACATGGAAGATGAAAACAGACTGCACATTGCCACTTCAGGGACAAATACAGAAAATCCAAGACAATGTTGGTATGGAAGAAGATAAAATATGAATGGTTAAGAGCAATTTTCTTGCAAACAGCCATGAGAAATATCCAGATGTTACTAAGGAACTGAAGAATTTGTAAAGAAAATCATAGGATAATCGACATAAGCTCGTTAATTTTCTGAAATGCAGTTATTACATGGCACTTCTCACTAACTGACATGAAGCCGAGCATTCACACGATTACGAAAATCTGTACTGTATTCATACTACAGTAACAAACTAAGATACCACCCCATATTATGCTTTAGAAAAGCTGTTCTTGAAAGATATTAATGCTCCACATTTTCTCTGTCAAAATATACCATCACATAAAGAAACTAATGATACAAGCAACATCTGAATTTGAGTGTGACCTTGGCATACACAGAGATACAGTAACAGTAATACGGCCAACTAAAACACAGAAGACACTATGAAAATACGCTTTTTTCAAAGCACCTCAGCTTTAATCCTTCTATGTTTGCTCTCAGAGATAAAAGCTTTCCCCAGCTGGAACTTTGTTAGTGAGTTCCAGGTTTGTTCTGGCTACATGTATTAGCTTTGTGCTTTGTTTTGATTTTTTAAATTTGCAGATTATGTCAAGTTACAGATTTGAGAGTGTGCGACAGTATGAATTTAAGGAGGAGAAAAAAAGTCCTACCTTGGCATGCCTTTGCTCTGCTAAGCACTAATATACAGCAATAACTAGACATTGAAGAGCATTTCTATCTGCAACTGACATAATTGTCTTACAAATTTACACTAGACTTTCCAAACATCGGTAGGCAGTTTAGAGGACTGCAACAAAGCTAGTTATCCATTTATTATACCTACTCCTAAAAATCATTAGCTATAGTAAAAACAATAATAAAAAAAAAAATCAGTTTTTTTTCCAGCTGAAACTGGAATGTTCATTTAAAAAACATGAATCATCTTACCGAATGTTTACTGTTGCACACATGAGCACATCATTTAACATGAAAAGCCGTCGTTCTTTGGTTTTGATAATTTCTCCTTTGTCATTGTAAACTGTCTCTACCATATCATCAGTCCGGATGAGGTATCTGTTTCCACTGCTGAGTAGCTATATTTTAAAAACAATCAATATTGTATATTATGCATCGTATATCTAACATCTGGTGCAAAAAAATAAAAGAAAATACAATGGGTTATGACTTGCCATCCTAATATAAGTGCTCACAAGTGGATTTGCCAAGTGAATTAAGCCTCCTTATTAATTTGCTTTTCATTTAGAGAAATAGCAACTTCTGCTGCCACCAAAATGGCCTGCAGGGATTTTCAGTCTTAATACGGAATGTAATTGCTCTGAGAATCTTTCACACAGATAAAGATCCCCTAGCAAAAAAAAAAAAAAAAAAAAAAAAAAAAAAAAGTAGAAAATTATAGCTTCCACAATTTCTGCTGTTTCCTTCCCTCATCCCACCTTTTAGAGCCTATTTAAGTGCTAAATGTGGTTCCAGCTGTCCCAAAAGGGGAGGTCAGGGTAGGAGGATCAGACTGCTGAAAAGATTATAGGTACAAGATACATGGCATATAAATAGCTCCTGCCATTGGCCTCATTGGCCTTCAAGGGCTAAGGATCAGCACTGTGTGCAAGCATGAACTAACCCCTCACAGGTCAAACACCACCTCTGGTAGTGGCCAAGAGAACAAAATGGTCCATAACTTACTCATTTCCTATCCACCTTCTTCACTGCCTGTTTCACCCTGCCTGGCATTATTGCAAAACTATATGTGCACCCATTTCTGACAAATATCTTAAAACAAGTGTGTTCTGGTTGACTACTATTATCCTAAAATCTATGCTCTTATGCATCACAAAAAAACCTCCTTGCACTCCTCCAGCATGTCCCCACTACTCCATCCCAGGATAAGTCCAGAGTGTAAACATCTGTAACTTCACAAAAGCAATAATTGAAGCACTTATGCCCCATCTCATGGGAAAGGAGGAACCATTTATGATGCAAATAAGACAAGCATATACATCCACAGTACACATAGCTACTAATAAACTCAAATGAAGAAGACTGTTCCTTCCTTCCTACTGAATGTCTTCTACAGTTCTTTAAAGACGTATCTGCCATATGATCCAAAAGCATGAATGGACTGGGATGTTTCTTAAAACAAGGAAGGTCTTGGACACATTCAATAGCACATCTTGAACTGACCCATAGTTGGAATCACTACAGTACAAGGGACTGTTTTTCTCCTTTACAGAGGAGTAATTCCTCAGTTCTGGGGTGAATTAAATATTGAATTTTCCCACGCAGAAAAAATGCATGAGACTTTTCTATCCAGCACTGCCACAGAACACTGGTACTGCTGCTGCTATTTCAGCATGCCACTCACTCCAGCACACAATGGTTTAAGCAGCAAGTCTGTTCACACCCAGAGGTAGGTCACACCTCACACCTACCACTAGAATGACCCCAAGTTGTTGACATTTACATAAAAATCCACAGGTGTCTCTTTGGTGCCTGTTTTAGAGATTGCTCAAGGCTCGGAAACTAACTCTTCCACCATACATTACTACTTTTCTCACCTTGTTTAGATAACGTTCATTCATTGCTTTTGCTATTTGTTTTATTTCACAGCGCTGATCTGCATCCCTTTTTCTTTCATTTAACTTCTCTGCCAGTGTTTCAAGTTCTGTAAGAGCCATTTGTAGAGGTAATCTGTCGGGATGTCCTTTATTAGTGTTCTTCAACATATCCTGAGAGGAAATGATAGAACAGACAAAAATTAGATTTCATTTCAAAGTCAAGTTCAAAAGATTACAGGTTGTACAGTCTACCACAACATTCTTTACCTTAGTACTACTAACGAATAAGACCAATGAACACCTAATGAATCTTCTGATAGCACATTGCTTACCCTCCTGCATATCTTAATAGTTCTTGAAAAAGATACTGAATGGGGTCACATACAGCTCATTTACAGGGTGAAAGTACAAAGAAGGAACTGGAAAATGAATACAAAAACTGCAAATGTAAACATAAATAAGAAAGATGCACATAATATTAAACACAACTTGAAAATCAGTATTGTAGTATAAGACGTAGGTGTCCGTAAACAATGATTTAAAAACTTTTCTGACATTTACTGTCATAATAATATTATAATCTCTTTATTACTGTTGTTATTCCAAACTAAAACATTGACTGCATGCTCATCCTCAAGTAGGAGAAAGTACTTACTTCATGGAGGTCACAACAGCTTCTCAAAGTCATTCCCTTTTGTAGGGATATCACTAGGAACGATTTGAATTATATTTTTAATCCTTTCCCACAGCACTTAAAAAATCTCTGTCCATTCACTACTGCTTCCTGCCACAATAAACTCCATCTCTTCTGCTACTTCAAAAACTCTCGTCATGGCTTCCTACCTGCATGCTCCCCCAGCAACTACCTCTCTCCCACAGTAATTTCTGGACTTGCACCCCAAAGCCTCATCTCCTCTGTGGCACCTCCAAAACGCAGCTAACTCATAGCGCTCACTGGGATGGACCTGTCATGATCTGGACAGACCTACAAATGGCCTAAGTTGGTCTGGAGCAAGTCTATGCTGGGGAACTGTGCTCTTCCTGCAGCTTGACTGACTGCTCAGACAAAACCTGAGGATTTCCTGTCAAACCCCAGTTTCCATGGGAAGGAAACCAAGATGCTGCAGGTCAGAAGGAAGCTGTACCACACTTTGGCAGATTCTGTGAGCCAAGTAGTCAGGGAAA